TTTAAAATATCATTCAAATTTGATATCTTGGAGATGTTATGAATTTTTAAGATTTTTCTGTAAGATATCTTGAATAATAACATTCCATTTTTAAGTGTCTGTAGACACCAGAACTCCGTTTATCTGAATATATAAAGGGACAAAATAGTTTCGATAACCAAATGATTTGGATAATAGTAGTTCACTAGCTTTCCTCTTTATCAGTACATTTAGTTTTTATAATAGGAGTTGACGTTTAGAAAATTGAAGTCAAGTTCTTATTATTCGAATGTTTCAAATAGCTAAACTATGAGTTTGTATATTTAAAACTGAGCACAAATTTGTTCATTAAATGGATAAACAGAGTTCTACTATATTTTATTATTTTCTGAAAATAAGTCTTCTTACTTATTGTAGATTTGTGTTTAAATTTTATTTTTTTTTTATCTTTATTATTATCAATTTTATTATTATCATTAACACCTTAATGGCGTGTTTTTAACATAGGTTCTTCGGGAAATCCTGGGGGGTATGCTGGGGGCAATAATGGTGGATATAGCGGTTATTACCCTGACGTTTCTCATCAAGTCAGTCAACCGAATTACGGAAGTTATGGTGGCTCTCAGTCCAGTGCTAACGCTAACGCGAACGCGAATGCCAATGCCAATGGCGGAGGATATTCTGTTCGTCCCTCTTATTATCCTTCTAGACCCCAAGTCATCGGCAACGCTAACACTAATGCTAACGCAAATGCGAACGCGGGTGCTAACGTCTTAGGTAGTGGCGGCGTGAATGTGATTCCCAACAAGTATCCTAGCAGAGGAATAGATAAAATAGAAGTAATTCCCGTAAACACACTGCCGCTTTCTCAACCAACTTCGCCTGTCCATTCGATACCTCACCGGCCACCTGGAACTAATAAGGGAAATGTGATTGTCGTTGTCGAGGAATCCCCGCAATATCCACCGTATCATCGTCCGAGTCCACCACCCCACCGCCACCATCACTACCGTCAACCGCATTATAATAAACCAAAACAGCAGCCCATCGAGGTCATCATCATTGAGGAGCCAAGGCCTAATCCAGGTGACACTTCATGATCGAGCACATTTGAAAGTCATCATGCAATTATTGTTGAGATTCTAATGCACTAACTGGTGTGGCAGCTAGCTCTATGAATTTTCTGCACTATGTTTTTAAATTTTTCACGAAAATAATGCCATAATTAATCGCCTCGTTGTTACATGTATTACTCTCAATATAGCTATATCTTATCATACGTGCTACAATGTTTTAATAATTAACTGGTGATATAGAGTTGGAATTGGATAACAATTGATCACAAAATATTATATTGTGAATCATCTATTTCTTTGTATATATATATATATATATATATATATAGCTCATTGTATGTATGTATCTCATTTATGTGATTAATGTGCATCTCATTCTATGTATTTCTCGCTTCGCTAATTGAAGCATCCTGCACAGACTTTACATCGGACGGAAGTCGCATTTAAGGATATGTAAACTAAGAATGAAGACATTTTTCTTACATTTGTGTTATAGTCGAATTGAAGGTTGACAATCACAGTACATTCTTTAACAAAACATTCCTGAAATTACAAGAAACAAGGACGCTGCTGATAATGCATTTTTCTTGTTTTCCTCATGACAGCTCATGGCATTCTAAATGGAAGTAACACAAATGGAAATTAAGAATCTGACGTAAATTATGCGTAACTGAGACTGAGAGCATGAACTTCGTTACTTTCGTCATGTGATAATTTAGTTTTAGTATTTGTAACGACATGTTTTTATATGTTAAATCATATGTGTGTAATGTTATTAGTTATTATATATAAATACGATAAAAAAAATAATTTTTTATAATATTTTTTTACAGCTGGTGGCGGAAATGGCGGTATTCAAGGAACTCATCCTGGATATAAAGACAATCCGTTTTTATCCAATGGCGCTGGATCAAATGCTAATGCTAATGCTCATGCTAATGCTAACGCTCAAGCAGGTGCGAGTGCAAACGGCGAAAGTGGACACAATTATCAACAAAGTGGATATCAGCAAGGTGGATATCAGCAAGGTGGATATCAGCAAGGTGGACATCAACAAAGTGGACATCAACAAAGTGAATATCAACAAAGTGAATATCAACAAGGCGGACATCAAGGCGGATATCAATCAGGAGGATATCAACAAGGCGGACATCAACAAGGTGGCAGTTACCCAGTAGAATCATCAGGACACAAAAATCCAATTGGCGATAGTAATCCCTTTCTGTATCCCAGTGGGCAATCCAGTAGCAACGTCGGTGCTAATGCTAACGCAAATGCTGGAGCTGGTGCTATTGCCGGAGAACAACCGATAGGTACCAATAATCCGTTTCTTAATGGTGGCGTATCCCAAAATGTCGGAGGAGGAGGAAACTATCCAGGAAGTTCGAGCGTTTTGAGTGATAAACCCAAAGGGGGGAGCATTTCTACCACTTATCCGGGACAATCATCCGGAGGATTTCCTGGCTCATTCGGATCATCTGGTGCTAACGCTAATGCTAATGCTAACGCTGGTGCCAGTAGCACTGGAGGATCTGGTGGACATGGACCCATTTTCGGAGGATCCGGAGGTCACGGAGGATCCTCCGGATACGGTGGGGGCTCTTTCGGTAGTCAAGATAGTGGATTTGGAACCAATGGTGCAAATATTCACGGTGGACATGCTGGAGGTTCTTCCGGAGCCAATGCTGGCGCTAACGCCAATGCCAATGCCGGCGCTGGAGCCGGTAGTGTTGGAGGAGGTCCGATCAAACAAAATCCAATAGTTAGCTCTGGCGGACACGGTGGCGGATCTTCGGGAATTCTTGGTGGTTACGGATCTAGTCCAAACTTGGATGGATTTGGAGGACAAGTCGGTGGTTCATCTGGTGCTAACGCTAATGCTAATACTAACGCTGGTGCCAGTAGCACTGGAGGATCTGGTGGACATGGACCCATTTTCGGAGGATCCGGAGGTCACGGAGGATCCTCCGGATACGGTGGGGGCTCTTTCGGTAGTCAAGATAGTGGATTTGGAACCAATGGTGCAAATATTCACGGTGGACATGCTGGAGGTTCTTCCGGAGCCAACGCTAATGCCAACGCTAATGCCAATGCCAATGCCGGAGCCGCCGGAACTATTCATGGAACTATCCCCGGAGGATCTGGTGGCTTACTCAGTGGCCACAGTAGTGGTGGATGTGCACAATGTGGCTCTTCCGGTCTGAATCTCGGTGGATATGGCGGTGGTTCTTCTGGTGCTAATGCCAATAGTAACGCCAATGCTAACGCTGGAAGTTTCGGTGGTGGCTCTGGTGGTTACGGAAACGATGTTAAAGGAACAGGACATGCCGGAGGACATGGTGGTCAAAGCGGATTCGATAATCAAGGCGGATTCGGCGGATCAGTCGGAGGAGGTACATATACTATATGTTTTAGATATAAATCTGTGTTGCGTGTCTTGTATAATAACTAAATAAACTAAATAAACAATTTCTTTAAAAATTAACGATAAATCCTAAAATTAACTGCGTAAACACGTAATTTTTTAAATTACTTTCTAATGTAATTATTATTTTATTAGAAATAAGCACAGCTTCCTTTAATTATTAGCATCATTATGTAATGCCTTGTTGACGTTTATCTTTGACGCACGTAACATTTTATTGCATGTATGTAAATATTCATCAAATGATCATATTGTAAAACAAATAACGCTTCTGTCTTAACAATTTCTAACATATAATATTTATCTCGCGTATTACATAAGAGATGAAAAATTATTTAGTCTTATCATCATGATGGATTAATAACCAGAATTTACGAAAATCGATCCTTTAGCGTGAATACAAATCAAAGTCCCTAAATCACAGAATACCAAGTATCACATTGTCATGCATGTTTCTGACACTTTCGTTCATGATTTAGAAAAACACCATTGGGTGGAAAAATGATAAAAGACTCATCCTGCACTCCGATGGATAACTCAGTCAAAAGCTCTACATATAGATGTATAAATGCTCTACATATGATTTATGGAAATATTTGTATATCCATCGGGGATCAATCGTAACAGAGCTTTTCGTGTTCATTTTTCCACAGACCTAAGCCCCGAGGCCAAGGCATCAGCGTTGTCTATGGCGGAGGCTGTGGCGTCAGGACAGATCATAATTAAATGATTCGCTATCCCGCAGGCTCAAACGCTAACGCACAGGCGTCTTCTAATGCAATTGCGTCCGGCGGTGGATCGGCATCAGCAAACAGCAAATCGTCAGCCCTCGTTAACGGATCAGGATCCGCAAAAGCCGACGCGTCCAGCAGTGCGTCTTCAGGATCTTATGGTGAAATAGGACCGAAAAGTTCAGCGTCAAGCCAAGCATCAGCTTCAGCCGATACCAGAGATATGCTGATCTTTAATTAAATATTGTGATATAACGAAACGAATCGACGAGAAAACTCGAAAGAGTCTTCTTGGCCATAATAGCGATATAATACTCCGATTTATATTTTGATGTTCCACGAACAAACTTACGCGGTACGAATATTATATTGTTTAATTTTGCGATAAGAATTTAAGATTAATTATTGAAAAATTAGAAGTATGCATACCATAAAACTGTCTATTAATAAATACGTTTAAATTTATAATCACGAATTATAAATTTGAACGTATTCTTAGAAATTGTGATTGTAAATTGGAGATTTGACGTCGAAAATAAGTTCAGTTTTTAAAATAGATAAACAGTCTTGAGCATTTATAGTATTAGAAAACGTGTAAGGACAACTATTTATTTATATTGCAAATTGTGTTGAAGGCAGATCGAATATTGTTTCTCTCAATGTAATGAAATGTGTAAGATAAAAATTATGATATCAGAACTTAAGATAAAAAGTTCTTTGACTCACAGAAATATAATTATAAATTTATAGACAAATTCGTTTTCAGTTAATTAATGACATATCTGCCACAGACTAAATCATTTTTATACTCATCCGAAACATTCTGTAATCAGAATGGTTTTAATATATACATATATATACACACAATATATTTAGCCACTTAAAATAAAAGATCTTAACTTAATACTTTTTTTATATTTATAAGTACTTAAATTATATATAATTAGCTGCGTGTAGATCGCCTCCTTTGAACTCTGGATCTGTGATTTACATAAAATGCCAATGAAATATCTAATAATAAAGATATTATAAAAATCCTATTGTAAATGTGTGTAAATAAATTTAAAGATCCTGATTAAAATAACCCGATGTTGAGGTATAGACTTTAATAATTTACTTTTATTATTTCTACTTATTCTTTTTTTTACTATTTTTTACTATTCTATTTTTTACTTTTTCTACTATTTCTTTTTTTTTTCTTTTATAATACCTTTTTATATAAATATTAATTAAAACCATAAAATCTGTCTTATGTTAATTAAAAGTTAAAACCACTTCAGATTTCGAAGGATAAATGCGATCTCAACTATGCCATTCATAAGAGTAATACTCAATGATCAAATTAATTGTGTGAGCGTGCTTATACGCTTGTATTTTTATAAAATCAAAGAATAACAGCATTCACGATTGGCACCAGCAACATCTCTCTTTGTCTTTATTCTCACGATGGCAGGCGTCTCTGGAGTGTCGGAAACAACGGGGATAAAAACTCGTCGGACTTGTTCTGCGCGAGAGTATGAACAAGGAAAACGGAAGAGAGAATTGCAAAGATGCAGAGAGAAAAGGAAAGAGAGAAAGACAAAAAGAAAAACAGAGAAAGAGAAAGAGAGAGAATAACAAAAAGAGGAAATTAAAAAGAGATGCTATCAGATTCAATCGTGACGTATATGATGTTCGTCCGAATCCGCGAATTGTTACGTGATTGTCACAATTAATACGTAATTATCGATAATTATTTTTTTATGTTACGTGTCATTTGTTTAGCTATTTCCTAGAATTATTGTTTATTATCATGCCTTATC